ATATTTTTCTTAGTCTTGAGCTCGAGCCTCGAAGCAATGCATTTAAGAAAAGTGTGTATGTTTGAAACTTTTGACGAAATAATTTAGCTTTACACGTATTGGTTATGTAATTTAAAGAAATATATTTTTTCGTATGTAATAGTTTGATCAAAATAATTTTCTCGACCGCCTATGGCCACACCTCTTTTCTTTGCTCTAAACCCACCCAAAAAATGAAACTACGCCCTTTCCAGCCAAGGAACGAACAGGAACGTTTTTCTCTCGGTGCTCGCCGGAACTAGGTCAAGACCTTCACTTTAAGTAGGATTTTGGACTAGATTTGATGAGTAATTTTCTCTCAATTACGATCTGCATCAAATATATTCATTTGATGCCACAATTATCCTAAAAGAGTACTTTGTGTCGTGTGTGTTTATCCATGACTAAATTTGTTCGTAAAAATATTTTATGTATACTAGAGAACATGTTAAAAATATTTTTATCTCATCGAGTTAGTATTTTAATTTTTATTTTTCAGTATGAATAAATACTCTTGTAATTTATGGGGAAAAAAAGGAAAAATTGCTGTAGCAGTCCCAAACCTTTGGCTTTTTTGCATACTTTATTTTAACCTTCACTTTGTGCAAGCGGAAGTCCCAAACCTTTTGAGAAATTGATAGATGGAGTCCAAATCATTCATTTGACCGTTAGTTGACCAAGAAAAGTTAATTTTGACCAAATTAAAAGGGATAAAATGGTAAGTTTAAAATTTGACATAAAAAAATTATAATAGTTAAATAAAAAGAAAAAATAAAGACATAAATGGAAGAACCCACCCCATTCCGATCCCACTCACCCCCACCCAAAAACCAAACCAGACTCATCCCAACCACCTGCTACTGTTGCTGGAAAATGACTCCAACCAAATTTCTTTTTTTTTTTTAGCCAATTTTACGTGCATTTGTATGTATATATTGTATGGATCTTTATGTATTTGTATAAATCTGCATGTATTTATTTTTGTTTTTGGTTTAATTTTAAATAAATTTTGAATCAATCTGTATGTATTTGTTGTATACATCTATATGTGTCTATTTATTATTATTATTTTTGGTTTAATTTTGAATCAATTTGGGAGTTACATATTTGAAGGCACTTTTGAGTTCATCATTTTCAGAATGTACAGGAACTTGATGAATCATTTGTACATTTTAAATTTCGGCCATTCGTGGATATCTTGAAAGCTAAAACCAAACTTGGGTGAATAAAATTCAATTACAATAGACTCCTTCCCATTTGCTAGTATAGCAGCCAATGATCTTATTGTTGATTCCACTGCTTAATTGAAATGGGTTTTGTTGGAATCTTTTGTTGTTGATGAAATTGAGGGTTACGATACCAAGATTCTTGACTGAATTGAACACCATGGAGGCTATGAACTACACGTGCTAGGGTTATTTGGATTATGTGTTTACCTCAAGCAATAATTGTTGCGCGGCAGGGGAAGAAGATAATTAAGATCTACAAGTTCTTGGTTACAAATAGGAAAGCATTGATGTGTTTGCCAACATTGGTATCGACGTTAGATGACGTTGATGGTGACTAATTTTCAGAGAGGAGGGGAGGGGACAACCATTTTTCATTTTCTATGATTTTTTATATTATTTTTTTTGGTCTATTTATTTAATATGAAATTTTAAAATTACAATTTTACCCATTTTAATTTGGTAAAAATTGGTCAAAGTTAACTTTTCTTGGTCAACTAACGGTCAAATGAATGATTTGGATTCCATCTGCTAATTTTTCAAAGGTTTGGGACTTCCGCTGGTACAAAATGAGGATTAAGGTAAAGTCTGAAAAAAAGCCAAAGGTTTGGAACAGGCTGCAATTTTCCAAAAAAAATGAAAGTTTAAAACTCATGGAAACATGATAACGGTAAGAAGAAAAGCCAAAACAAAGAATCAGTATGCAAGAGAAGCTTTATCCTTAACTCGAATTCTCCAAAAATTATTTACATTTCCGGAAAGATCAGGCATCCTGCAAAATCCTTTGAAATAGTCCACAAAGATTAATCAAAAGCTCCATGCCCTAGAACCATAAAATTAAAATTGAAAAGGAGATTAAAGATGTCAATTGATTTGATCTGGTGCCTGATGAGCTTCCACGGTCCCCATTTCTATCTGTCTACCATTTGTTTCCTGCTTCTTCTCTTCATTATCCTCCTTTGATGTCAGAGTAGTGTCGCTACTGGTGCTGCAAGGGCTTTTGCTACCAAAAGATGATGCTCTACTTGACATAGGAGTGGCCAAGAAAGTTGGTTTCTCTTGTCCGGCCATGATCACAAGATATTTCTTTTCAAGCGCCGGTGGTGGTTTAACGATGGCAGCCTCAGAGCCTTCGCTGCCATTACCCTCACCAGCCTCGAGGTCCCTCTCTCCGTCGCCACCATTGCTAGAAAATTTCCAGTATGAGCACGCCAGGATCAAGAGAGCAAAAGCAATGAGTCCCAACATGGCCGCCAGTCCCCCAAAGAGGTAAGGCACGGGGGAGTGCCATGGAGAACGCAGAGCAGGTGATGGTAATGGTGATGCTGTCGAAGTCCCCCCAGTAATCATGTTTAGCGGTTTATATGGAACTATATATTGGTCAATTGGACAAATCTTTGCTAATGTAAAGAGTTATGAATTTGGGTGTTAATAATTTGTGCAAAATGGATAGGAAAGACTAATGGTGGGGAGACGGTGGTGTTGGCGGCGGCAAAGATGGTGGAGAGGATGAGGTAGTGGTGGATATATTGAAGAGGCAAAGCTGGGTTCAGGTGAATTTATAGGGAGGAAAACATAAGATTGTTTGGATTTAACCAGTGGGCTACAGAAGTGGATTTAAGTTTTTTTTTTCGGTGAATTATGTCGTCATTTGCATGAAAAGTAGCGTGGGGGTGGGGTGTGGTGGGGGCTATATGTTTGTGCTCTGTGGATATATACACAGTAGAAAGCACTCCTCTGGTTTCAAAAGATGAGATCATTGTACAAAATTAAGGGTGGTAAATTTTATAATGTTTGATTCATTAGCACTATAGTTATAATTATAATTTATTTTATAGCATTTAAATAATTTACTTATTCTTCTAACTATTCAAAATAAAATAAGGAATTTAGAATATAATTTATCAGAACGTAAAGTATAATGACAAATAAAATTATTCCCCGTTTGACAAATTTAAAAGCAAAAGTTTTATGGTACAATTTGTACGTACCAAATAGTGCAGTCACGGTTTGTTATGATATAAAGGTGACAGCCTACTGAAATGTATTTAACCATGTTTGGTTGTGATTAAAATTTAAATTTTAGTACAAGTCAAAGTCGACATTTAATTTCAATTATATATTTTATGGAATCCACAATTTTCAACAATACATTCCATCAACGTTTATTAAAATCTACTAAAAATCTGAATTTAATCTATA